TTTTCCGACTGCAAATAGGCCTTAATTTTGGGCAGTGACTAATAAAGAAAGCAAAAAATTTGAAAGAATCAATAATGAAGTAGAGGCTTGATTAACTTGATAAAATTACCTCAAAGTTCATCTTAAATTGTTTTAAATTTGGGAACTTATCCAAGCATCCCGGCTCAAAGATCTCGAAGACATCCAAATTTTCGTACAAGACGAAGTCAGCGTAACAGAGCTAGAAAAAATATTTTTTTGTTAAATTTTTGTACTAAGTGACTCTTCCGGTACTTATTTTATTCTATTTGTTTTCAACGAAAGATTACAGAAGAACTTTCAAAATGCCGGTCGTGCAGTGGACAGCTCTATAAGATCTGATCCAAGGGAACTCACAAGCGCTCGAACAGTCTGGAAGATGTTCGCATACCAATCAAGTGTGGCTTGCGTGCAGACGGACCTCTTAACCAATCAGATGCCCTTGCAACGGGGGTTTAGTGCTATTTATACTTTAATGGTTAAGCATTCGTGGCACCAATCGACAAGTTGTAATAAAGGTTATTCCTTCCATATGTTCCGCCTTATCAACACTGATAGGGTAGATTGGCTAGTCAAGAAAATTATTTTACACGGGATTATTTTTGCCAGAGCGGGGTGTGCGATAGACTTACCTCCACGTGGTGCACCCTGGGCAACGCATATTCTTGTTGCAAAAAGTCACTAAACCGGCAGTTGAATTCTCACTTCAAACTACCATGACCCCACTCTATGTCACATTTAACCTCTTTCACAGTACTCATCTTACCTTTTCTCTGTCTTTGTGACTTTCTGTCTCTTTTACATCTGTGAATCATTATTCTCTTTCCCAATATTGACGTTTTGTGGCTCTCCTCTATGTGAAGCTGAGGATAACTAGTTTTATTTATATCAAATGGCAGGCGTTTTGATGGTCATCATTAGCCCTTTAGTTGACTTCAGGCTTCACAGAGTGTAAGGAACATCAAAGCGAAAAAGTCGAGATTGAGGAAGGGGGAACAGAAGAGTGTTTCAAAGACGAAGGTAGAAATGGTAGAAAAAAGGTGATGTGAGTACTGTGACAGTAGTCGAATATGATATACAGTGGGGTCATGGTAATTTGAAGTCAGAACTCAACTGCCGGTTTAAAGAATTTTTTTGCGGTATGAGTATACGTTGCCCAGGGTGCACCACGTGGAGGTAAGTCTATCGCACAACCCCGTGATAACTAGCATAAAGCCTCCCATTTCATATAGATAAATAATTTTTGCCAGAGCGGATTGTCCAAGCTTCTCTATTTAGTCGACTGGTAAAATCAAGGACTTAATTGTCCATATACGGCGCTGTTGCCTCCTACCTTCTTCAAATCGTTCTGACAGCAAGAAATTAACATTTGTTCATTAAAGTACAGCAAGAATAAAGTAGTTCTTTGTTTCTACATATCTACTGTGAAATTATCGCGGACGATTAGGTCACCAAATAGGTTTTATTCGTATGTCGAACTACTTTATGTCGTGATAATTGGGGTGTGCGATAGACTTACCTCCACGTGGTGCACCCCGGGCAACGTACACTCATACGGCAAAAAAGTCTATAAACCGGCAGTCGACTTCTGACTTTAAACTACCATCACCCCATTGTATGTCATATTCGACTACTTCCACAGTACTCATCTCACATTTTTTTCTACCTTTTCTACCTTCGTCTTTAAAACACTCTTCTGTCCCTCCTCTCAACTTTTTCTTTAATTTGATGTTCCTTCCCCTCTGCAAAGCCTGAAGTCAACTAATGGGCTCATGATAACCATCAAAGCTCCTGCCATTTAATATAAATAAATGTTTGGCTAATTACAACGGTCAAGGTAGTGAACTAATTGTCGGAAGAGGAAATTTCGTTTTTTGAAGCCCCACCCATTCTAGATGAAAGTTAGCGGATTAAAACTTTAGGCTCCTACTGATGAGTAGTATGCAAACAGAAATAGGACGTCTTTACGAGTTAGACGTAAGGATATTTGGAAGCAGCGAACGTTTTGACAAGACTGAGTAGAGGAATAGTGGTGAAGCATCGCTTTTGGAAACCGCATTTCTACCTCTCTGATAATTAAAATAGGTAATCAGTCCTCAGTGTGTTGTCGAAATTTTGATTTCTTTAAAAAGAACAATAGAAAAAGGACTTCTGGAAATTCAATAGGATATGATCAATAAAAACCGGTTTAGAAATCATGACTTTCGATCATGACCTTTTCCCCTTAATTTACTATTACTTGCTCACCTTATCGCCAATGAGGTATTTCTTATCACCGAGGAATTTTGAGAGGACTTCGAGTCCTTTACAGAATGTAGGCATGAATCCGGGTCGGAGTTTTTCCTAAAATTTCATGGAGTTAGCATCTACTTCAAGTCAATTCTCACATAATCAGGATTGAGAGCAATCTTGGAGATTCCCGCGCGAACATCTTTAATGGCACCCTCAGCCATGGCGATTTTGATGAGATCACTGTCGCCATTTCCAGCTGGGAAAAGAATGCAAAGGGAAATAATTTTTTGCTAATTTCTCACTCACCGAGTCCATGTTTCTTCCCGAGGTACATTGTGATCACATGGGATTGGGTGATCCTCGTGTCTCCATCAATTAGGTATGGCAGCTAGAAGGAGGCAGGTTGATTAGATCTCTTGTTAGTGGAGAACATACATTTGGAAAGTCGAAACCAAGATTGTATTTATTGGTAAACCACTGTTCACTCTCGGTGTGTAGAACGCGTTTCTCTTCGTAGGGCTCACCAATGTATTCCAACATCAGACGAATTGGCTGACCGAGCTAAAAGGTTTCCCAAATTTCGAGGTTAAACTAATATTATTTATTTATTTCAAATGGCAGGTGTTTTGATAGTTATTATTAGCCATTTAGCTGACTTCAGGCTTCACAGAGAGGAGGAGGAACATCAAAGTAACAGAAAGTCGAGGGATGGGGAGCAGAAGAGTGATTTACAGATGTAAAAGAGACAGACGCAAAGGCATGGAAAAGGTAGGATGAGCACTGTGAAAGTGGTAGAACATACATACAGTATTATAAGTAAAGGTAAAAATGCTATAGACATTCAGAACAGGTGATTGTAACTTTCAATCCTCAATTTCAGGAGAACTTTTTAGTAGGCAAATACCTATGACAGTTGTCTATGGGACAAAGTAATTTCATAATTGCGGAAAAAAGAACAATTCAATATCCACACCGAAATTCCAATGCCATCGTAACGTGGTGAAATGGGAATGGGTTTTACCAACATTACAGAATGCTAGACAAAATTGGTCAATCGAATTGAAATTTGAGTTTATCTTTCCGACTAAGTTCCAAAATAAATAGCTGTCTTAGGGAAACATTAAAGTGTGTTCTAGGTAGGTAGAAAGAAATGTCAAAATTCAGTTATAAATAGAGAATCCTTTGGGAAGTCATGTTTCTCAGAATATCGGAAAGATTTACTGCAATACAAGCTTTCCTTGGACCAGAATATCTATTCCCTCCCATTTATCGTCTATCCAGACAACCAACCGATTAGTCCCTAATCGAACCCAAGTAGCTAAGTCAATTTTGTTAAATAAATTGTCCGCCGTTAGAGCTGTTGACTATCTCTTCACCTCTTCATTGAGTGTGAGTGGCTGTAGCTTAGATAAAGGCCAACTGAGAGGTTTTGGAATAAGTTAAGCCATTAAATAACCCCCCCCCATAGCAGTTAAAACTTACCCCTCGCAGGTTCCAGTAGGCGAATTGATATTTGGGCATTGTAGAAAAGACTAAAACTGAAAATGGAAATTGTATGCACAGTTGGCGAAGAAATCGGTGACCAATGAGGGGAAATACTTCGATCTTCCTTCTGATTGGCGCAATTTTGGTATTTCCTGTTGCAATCACACATAGGCAAAGTTGGAGAAATAGATATCATTGAAATACATGGGCATAATACGTTAGTTTCATACAAGGAATGAACAATAAGGAAATCAACTAAATCGAGAATAGCGTAAGTTGAGGCTTCTCAGAATAAAATACCCACTAAGCTATGTAAAGACGAAAAGTTTATGCCTATGCTAATTTTCACTGATCTGCAAAAGACAGAGTCTGTAGGATATTAAAATCGAAAAATTGCAAAATTTTGTGCAAACATAGCCAGTGGAACATGGCTTTGCACACACTGGTTGACTCAGATCCAGCAAATCAAATGGTAGTGCTGTTTCTTCAAGCCATTTTAATGCATAATCTTTCCTTAAAATAACAGTCATTTATAGAGCTAATATTACCTTTCCTATGATTGTCTACTAAAAGTTAACTCGTAACAGTTTATTCGTACAGATTAATTATACTAACAGTCAAAACTGCTGAGGAACGCTTTATCAATGATAAAAAGGTAAACGAAAATTAAATAGTGTTTGCCTTCTCGAGGTAAAAAATTCAAAACAATGTATTGTTCTATTCGGAGAAAATCGACCCTCTGAACAGTTAAGTAGTATTCACCATTCAAACAGCTATCAATGTATTGATTTATCCAAATAGATTTTATTATCAGACCGTCGGAAGGCCGAATGGTATTTCCCACTGATTAAAAACAGACTAGTAATCGACATTATTGACGGAGATCACACAATGGCCAGTGTGAAGAAATATTTATTTTTAAGTCGATTCCTTATTTTAACTAAGTTTGAATTCTGATAATAAAAAACGAAACAAACAATGGTGCAAACAAAAGAAAAGAGGTATATAGTGTATCAGAACATCAAAAATTGTCAACAGAAAAACAGCCTATTTCGGTCCGAAACAAAATTTGTCATATGCATTATTTCCAATGAAGGTGTCATGAAGAAATCGCGTATTTCAGAAATATATTTGACCTCAATTTGTGAAAGCAACAAATTTCAGTTTACTGCTGAAGATAAAAATATCCAAACACAAGGCAGATAAAGGACATGTTAAACTTTCCAACCCTGCAGAACTACTAAATTACAACTGAAATTTATTGTCAAGTGGTTGTAGATGAGGATCATTTTAGCCAGTATTTGAAGAATAAAGGAATACCTATGCCTTTCACCCTTTCCTCCTTTCATTCGTAAGGACGTTGCAACAATTGTTAGATATATATTATAGAAAGAATATTTAATTATTGTAGACTTAAGCGAAATTTCGAGGGGTATGGAAAGGATTTAAAATAGGTCATAATGAGATTGGGTTGGAAAATAGTCCGGGAAAAAAGCAAACTAAAACCTAATTCAAGTGACATTAAGATGAAAGAAGGATCTTGGAGAATGAGCAAAATATTGCCTTCTTAATATTTAGTCGCATAAATTAAAATATTTCTACCTGGTACGAAAATATGATTTTTAAACTTGACTATTAACATTCAGGCCAAGCCTCAAGTTAATAATAATTGCAAAACCAGATGCAAATTTTCAAAAGACGCCAAATTATTTAATTAAATTTCCCAGAATATCATTTTCCCTATAAATTTAACAGAACAGAAAACAAAAGTCATAAATTATTTAAAATGATAGTATAGCAAATGATTGGCAGAAAAAAGCATACATAAAGAGCTTATATTTCTATATATTTACTGCAAGTCATTGTTAAAAAGCATTTCAGTTATATTAGATGCTTAAACCATAAATTGTTTTATGCTTTAATGCTTAGCGGTTATTTCTTATATTTGGGGCTTTGTTGTCGAAACATAGCCATTTTATCGGGTGTCTTTTTCATAATTTATATGAAAAATGAATACCGGAACTAGACGTTTTAGTTCGCGAGAATCTTCGAAGCAAGTGGTAATGTGGTTATTTGTATTTCTTTGATGAATGTATTTAGGGAAACTTGAGGAAACCATCGGTCTACCACGCTGCAATTGTTGTATTTCTCGAATTCTTTGCTTTTGGATTGCTCACTTCCCCCATGATTTCCGTGAGAATTATTATTTTTTTATATTATATAAAATTCAGGTTTTGGATGAAGCTTTTCCCAAGCATACATTTCTCATGAATGGATTAATTCAAGGCGTGAAAGGATTCCTCTCCTTCCTCAGCGCTCCTTTAATCGGAGCTATGTCGGACGTTTTTGGCCGAAAACCCTTCCTGATACTCACTGTGACATTCACTTGTTCTCCTCTTCCCTTCATAAAGCTGAGTCATTGGTGGTATTTCACGATGGTTAGCATATCTGGAATATTTGCTGTCACTTTCTCTATTGTTTTGGCCTTTGTTTCCGATGTAACAACCGAGGAACATCGGGGTTGGGCCTATGGCTTGGTACGTCTTCTTATCTTATTGTAATATTTCTTGCAACGTCACCAATTGCTTTATTTATGAAGTGAATCGATCAAAATTTTGTTTTATTCGGGTTCAGTATAACTTGTTTGCGCATTTTATACTTTTAAATTGTTTACTGCGTTTCTCTTATTAATACTTATGACTTTATTGTTCTTGTTAGTTGCAGGCAGTTTTTTGTAATCATTAAGTTTTGATTTATTTTTTTCTAAGGCTGTTTTTAATTGATGTTAACTTATAAATCATGGAAATTTTTACGGCTTAATGTAAATTGGATTAATGTTTAACATACATTTGAATCATATGAAATCTCTGTAATACTGATTACTTTTTTCTCATCCTTTATATTAATTTAATCCTACATCTTACCATCAAATGGTTTGGCTATTTCTACCAGAGTTCCTGTAATTCATTCAACACATTGATATGAGTTAGACATGCAGATACAGAGTTTTCACTTGTTTCTGTTTGAGACGTCCTTTTGCTTGAAAATGTACTTATGCGTACTTAAATTATTTATACTCCAAGGTGAATTGAAATCTGATTCCTCTTTCATGGACAGTTTTTTTGAGAGATACTTGGAAGAGAACTTTTTGATTACGCTATTTATCTCGTATATAAATTTTTAATTTTAATAAACTTACCAATAACCTCTTCCGTGTTTATTTTTTTCAACCGGTATTATCTCTGCAAGAAAATTGACTACTTATGCTTGTTTTGGACAGCATGTTTTTTAGTTTTGGGAGTGAATTGGGCTTAAATTCCCGATTGTTTGGGGTTTTGTTTTTTAATGGCTGTTACCTAGTTACTTGGATGCTACTGGAAATGAAAATACGTGAATCCTCTGGTTAATTTTTATAATTTGTTAATTTGACTATTCTGATAATTTCAATGTTTCTATTTTCTGAACATTATTCAATTTTTTCCTCCAACCATTCACTTGTCAGCAAGCACTGATTGCATAATAGGCTTATTGAATGAGTTATTGTCACTTTTGATATATTTTGCCATTTGTGTCCAATTAAGCCCTTTCGTCTGTTTTCGATTATCGAGGTTCCCCCCCACTTCCCCCCCCCCACTTCCCCCC